GAATTTGCATGGAAAAAAATAGTTACACTATTTAACGTTACAGTTTCCTGCATGTGCCTTTAAAGATGTGTTAAAACATGAATAAAGGTTGTAAAATATTTTGTTCATTAAGATGTATCATAATTTAATATCAGCTAGGTCATTTAGGATGCTTCTGACTGTAAGATTTTAAAAACAACACTACAATTTACATACTCTTGCACATTAGTCTTAGAGCACATACTTCAGATAATTTAACTTTTTATAAGATTTTATTCACTTTTACAGAGAGGGGAAAGAGAGAAAAGAAAGAAAGGGAAAAGAAACATCGATCAGCAAGAGATACATCGATCAACTGCCTCTCGCACGTCCCCAAGTGGGGACCTGGCCTGTGACCCAGGTACAGGCCCTGACTGGGAATCGAAGGGGCAACCTTTCGATTCACAGGCCAGCACGCGATCCACTGAGCCACACCAGCCAGGGAGATAATTTAATTGTTTAAAAAAAATTTTTAAATATTTTATTTATTTATCTTTAGAGGGGAAGGGAGGGAGAGTCAATGTACGGTTGCCTCTCATGCGTCCCCTGCTGGGAACTGGCCTGCAACCCAGGCATGTGCCCTGACTGGGAATCGAACCGCGAAACTTTGGTTTGCAGGCCCGCGCTCAATCCACTGAGCTACACCAGCCAGGGCAGATAATTTAATTTTTAAGTAAAATCACCCAAAAGATGCCCACTAGATTGGCCGCATCGCAATACCTTCACCAACCCTGTCTAAACTGTCAATATGATAGGTCATACATGCTCTCATTTTAAATCTGCATTGTTTACATTAGACATAAAACCATTTTGTGTCCTACCCTTAACAGCTAGTTTTTATTTTTATAAATAACTGATCTACACTGCCCTCTTTATGAGATCACTTACCCCCCCCCCCACAACTGCAGGAGTTTTTTTCTTTGGTAAAAAGTTTCTCCTAACAGATGAGCAAGCTCATGTGCTGCACACCGTGCGTCTGAGCATGGAACATGGGCGGTGTTTGCAGCGACTTCTTTGCAGAGGACACAATCTCTATGGACTACGAATTACTTAGGGTTTTGAAAAGAGTATTTCTGAAGATCTTACATGCACTTTCACATCTCTGAAGCTTTGTAAAGACTATATTCTCCACACAGGAAACAAACTTTCTTGTAAGATAGCCTATCTCCTCCATGTTTTCTCTCCCTCAACTGGGCGCTGCCTCGCACCTCTCCTAAAAAGCAGTGACAGACTGTGACTGAAGCACGTGCAGTACTTGACTTATATTGACCTTCTCTCCCTCACTGGTGGAAAGGTGCACAACCTTCTCGATCATCCAGTAATGCCGGATACCTGAGTATCTCACACACCGGTCAGTATGGAACACACAGAGTTCATTTAATTACAGTATCTCACTCTCTAAAAGAGGAAATGGCAGTTCAGATGAGGATCGTTCTCACACTCACGGGAAGCCCCAGAACCACGCTCTCCTGGTACCCAGCCCTCTGCCAGCCCCACTCTCCTAGCCCTGCACCGCGGTGACACCCTGCATCCCGGCCAGGCCCTCTAGAGATGTTTCTGAGCGAGAAAGCTAAGTCAGTCTGAGCTTGCAAATAAATCATAGCTTACAGATTCAAACACAATTTACTTCAAAGTAGTCACTCAGGACACCTAAGCAACTATTTCAATGATGTTAAATTGATTAAAGGAGTTTTATAATTTCTCTTTGAAAACTCCCATTGGGCCAGTTCATAAGAAAATTATAATCCTTAAACTAAAGTCAATTTCATTATAGTATATTATTTTTTACTCCAATTGTTGTTACTAAGTTTTTCCTTTGCCTTATTCTGTGATTAAATGGCTGTTAGCCATTTTGAAAATGTATATCCAGCTTCAAAGCATCAAGGTGGTTAGAGTAAGTCCATAACCTCTTAAAGTGTCTTTTTATATTCCTTCTCTTTCCAAAGAGAATTTGAAGTAGCTTTATTATTATTTTGAAAAAATACTTAAAGATGTAAATTTTTTAAATAGAACATTTTCAGTTACACTTCATGCAATCATGTAACTACTGAAGACTCTCTCAAACTACATTTGGAGGACATCCCAAAGATAAGCATGTCAGATACACTGTAACTTAAATATGCAGAAAAAACGTTTTAAAGTACACTCCCCAGAATGTAAATAACAATATCCACTAAGAGACAGGATTATGAAACATTTTGATTTTTGCTCATCTGGACTTTCTTATGTTCCTATTATGGATATGGAGCATGTATACAATTAAAGTGTGTGTGTGTGTAACAAAAAATTATTTATAAACATATTTTGTAAAAATTGAAACTGATTTTTAGAGAAGGGGGAGGGGGAGCGAGGGGGCAGGGACACACACACACCCCGATTTGTTGTTCCACTTAGTTGTGCGTTCACTGGTTGCTTCCTGGGTGTGCCCCAACTGGAGGCTGAACCAGTGCACCTGGCAGTATCAGGGCCCTCTAATCAACTGAGCTGCCCAGACAGAGCTACATATATACGTTTAAATTTCAAGATCTAAGCAAGAAGATGCTTAATCTAAATTTATACAACTCAATCTTTAAGAGCTCAACATCTGGCTCAAGAAGAAGTGTGTACCTGCATGGACCCTGTAAGAGGCAGGATTTACAAAGAACATTGAGGTTGGGTTTTTCTTCTCTCCTTGCCCTTCTGTATAATTCTACAACTACCTATACAACTCAAAAAGGATGTTTTGCTTATTCTAAGTGAGCCACTACCCCTTGCAATGTTTAAAGCGCATACCAACACTAATTACATTGTTGACGGCCTGAAATGGGTCACCCCATACAACTGATTAAAACTCTTATGCAATATTCCTTTGGAGGAACAAGGACAGCTTGTACACATATTTCAACTACATCTACTTCCTTAGAAGATGGCTCGCATCTGTAGGTATTACAAAGTTCTAAGAGCACACAGTAAGGCAAAGAAAAAATTAAGAAGTTAAATTAGCCTAGTCATTTGTCCCAACCAACTTCGTATTACATCACTAATTTAAGAAAGCACATAGGCTTCTGTTGTGTTGTTAATGGACAATGTCTAAAGCATAGATATCTTCACTTTGAAAGTTATGATGAAACAACTGTATTACCTGGAAAAATATGATAAGACAAGGCTTGAGAAATAACTAACATTTCCACACGATATACAATTGCATTTCTATAGTTCGTGGTTAGTTTCAACAAGCTACACTGTTTCCTTTCAGACTAGGAATCTGGAGTAAAAAAAAACTAGATTTAGCATGCCAATTTTTAGTCTGATTTTTTTTTTAGTCTAAGTAAATAGGTATTTATGAAATAATCTTAAATGACTTATATGGTTTGGACATTCTGTTTGTAAAGGTTTAAAGGTTACATCATTCAACTGCATGAAGTTTAAAATGTCTATGTAAAGAAACACCCTAAAGTCCAGAAATAAATGGGGGACAAGAAACCACAATGGACGAAAAAGCCCTCCCAAAATGAGTGGAACCCATATCTCACCACCCTGGAATGGCGCAGGGAAAAGGCTGCTGCCAGCTACACAGACAGTAAAGCAGATATCCTTGGGGACGGTCTCAAAGACATACCACCTCTCAGCTCTCCTCTTAGTTCGCCATCGGGTAACTCTAAAGCTCAGAGACCCTTGTAGCATTGGGGATACGTCCAATTCAATTATCCATAAAGTACTTCTCAATTACTGAGTTGAGAAAACTCACCTAAGAAACTGTAAAAGGAAGTCAGTTTATTCTTAACATAAGCACTAACAGTTCCTATCTCGAGATGGAATTAGAGATGCTCTGTAGTATTTTTAGAGCATGAAGCTCTCTAAAGCACATAAAGTAGCTAGATGTCGGGGGAGAGGCTGCTGCAGTTGATTGGGAATTAGTCTGTGACCACCCTAACTTTTCTGCATTATTTATACCAGGCTGAATTGTGGGGGCCTCAAATCAAAGCATTAAGCTCAGACCGTCTTTGATCTACCTCTTTAAAAACCTTTCTGTTGGGGCAGGGGTGTATGTCGAATCTCCCGGAGACCTGGCACGAGTTCCAGAGACAAGCCAGCAGCGGCAGCAAGACGTCTGCAGTCCAGCAATTCTGAACGTGAGGCTTAGTATGACTGACTGCCAGAGAATGCTCACTACACTTGATTTTATTTTCTTCTTTACTAAAGTTGGTCAATATCTTACAATATTTTAAAATAGTCTACAGAATGAAATTTTTAAAAGTTGGATTAAGTCACTACCTAAGATAAATTGCTAGCGTTCTATAATCTCAAAATACTTATAATGTTTCAACCTTTGATCATACATACCTCTACTGCATCTGATGCAAAAGTATCTAAATTGTCGCAAAGTATCTTAATGGAGGTGACACCCTAAAAACATCAATAATTAGAGCAGAAGAAAGATGAAGATGAGGAAAAGTACTTCTTTATACAATCCCACTGAGGTTTCTACTCTAGTCTCTTCAGCTATTTAAAGGATCAAAAAGACTGGGAGGAAATAATAGAAAAGGGTAATCTCACTGCTAGGTACTGGCCTGAGCTGCAGTGAACAGAAGAGAGTAGGATACAGAGAGGGTTTCTGAGTGGCAGAAATAGAGCAGATGCTATATCATATTAATTCCAACAATCTGGCATTTAAAGTGAAATTTAAGATATATTTATGATTTTATTGCCAACAGCTTAAATGGACAGCAAGTCTTGTAACTGTTTAATCTGATCCTGAGAGAAAAATCTAGAGCCATCATCATTACTGTCAAGCAAAGGGTATATTTAAACATCTCTCACATTGCAGAAATCTCCTAAACAGTCACTGATTAATTTAACCAAAGCCAAAAAAGGAAAAAGTCAGTTGACAAACCATTTCTGAAATTAATGATCTTTTATGGGTCATTAAACATAGGATTTTTTTTCTCTTTTTCTCTTTGATTTCAAAACTCTCTAAGGAAAGAAACTGGGTAGTCACCTACCTATAGATGGAGATTTGAAAGGGTATTTATCAGGAAGATCCACTCTAACTTTCCATACTCCACCTTCATATGGTGCTGAAAGAAAAGTTAAAATGTTACGTATTAGAAGTATGCCTCCAAATCTGAAAATAAACCTAAGTGTAAATTAAATATTAAATCCTAATCTCTTTTGAAAACCTTGCAAATGAATTCCCTTCAACATCAGGGACCTCCTATAACTCCTGTGTTCAGAATAAAATACTTTCCTTAAAAGACAAAGAATAAGCAAAGATTTACTTTCTCCCCCTTCCCTCCAAGTTACCTGATTCTTTAAAGTATTAAACACTATCCAATTCTTTGGTAAGTAATAGCCTTCTATTTCAGACTACCCTATGCATCCCTCAAAAAAAAAAAAATTTCCTAAACTGTCAAAGTAGCCATCCATACAAAAGCCACAATTCACAATTCATGCTTAATACTGTCACCCAGAGATAAGGGAGAAAAGCATATGAATTTACTATGATAACAGCAAGATTTACTTTTCAAAAACCACACACACACCACCATTTGTCTTTGACATTTTCATTGTCTATTACAGAGAATAAGACTGTAATGGAAGAACATACAGCAACAAGTGTACTTACTTCCTTGTGGTCCATAAAACTTCACTACGAATTCATTGAGTCCTCCCAGGATGGTGACCTCGTGTTTACTCTCAATGCTGAGGTGGAAGGTAAAGGAAATTACACTGGCTTTGCATTACCCAGAACAACTCAAAGTGACACCTCCCAGATATGCCATTTTAAGTGTCCAACATTCATATGAAACCAGTAAGATATAAATAAACATAATAATTGTGGTAATTTAGAAGCAATATACACTCTTGTGTAAAGAACACGAATAGGCTTTACAGATTCAGAGACTTGTGTTCAGCTGGCAGAACCACCGCCTACCAGGTCTGCAAGCCCAGGCAAAACAGCGTGAACTGACTCCCTGAGCCTTTGGTCTGTCCTTGCAAATCAGGGAAACACCCCCTGTAAGATTTCTGTGAGAATTAAATGAGTTTAGTATGTAAAATGACTAAGACAACTTTTTGTACATACTGTCCATAAGTGAACAGCACTCGGTTTTTCTCCCACTGGTACTCACTCTCTCCTTCCCTGCTGACCCTCAATGAACCTTTAACATACATCCAGTATTCCCTTCAGTCAAATTCAGGTTCTTGGGAAAACACTGATTCTCCTAAACTGGCAATGTTCTGCTCCTAATTTATGAATTTACTAAGGAAAGTCCCCACAATTTTCTCCCTGGCTTAGAAAATAATCAAAATAGAGACACAAACTTGTTGCAAGTATTACTGGTAAATGCCAAAACCAGTAATAAATAAATAAATCAACAAATAACCTTTTCTGAAGTTTTCCTTGTCACCTACTCTTCTCCCCCTCCCTCCTGAACCTCTACCCGCCTTGGCCTCCAGGGCTCTGGGGCCGCACTCACAGAGGAACAGCACTTCTGACTCCCCTCTCTCAAAAACGTACCCATCCTTGACACTCTCACTCCTTTAAGGTACTAGGATGCAATTACACAAAACGAACCAATCCATCTCAGTAGAGCAGAGGACTAGTATCTATTACTACCAGTCTACTATCTACTTTATGTCTCTGCTCTGTGATCTAACCCCATAATAACTCTGACAGGATTTTTAGGTGGGAGGTGGGGCTTTGGGGAGCTCATAAAGCCCACTATAACATTAAAAAAAAAGATATGGCAGACTGGTCTTGTCTTAATCAGCATTACAAAGTGCATGTACTATTGTACAAAAAAGAATCCAAACAAATTTTTAAATGATCTCCTAAATAGAGAAAAACAGTATCTCTAAAGTTATGAAATTAAGTATTGGACTCTCCAATCCTCTGTGCTATAAACCACAGAACAGAGAGGCCACGTGTATTTTTGGCCAAGTCCTTGTTTAAGAGCCTTGAACAATATCCACCAGAGATAGTAATGAAATGAGTATCTATGCTCACCTGATCTAACTACTTCAGTAACACACACACTCAAAGGACTCAAACAGTAACCACCCTGGGAAAGCAGCTTCACGTCTCACAGTCAAATGACGCACACACGCGTGCTCTGGTCCACTAAATTCCTTCTGGCCAGTCCCCCTCTGTTTGTCTGCAAAACATCCCCAAGTTACCACTAATGAAACACACAGAAGTACGTGTTTAAATTGTCCTAAAACTTTAAAAAGCACCCTTGTATTAGTGGGGAAAAAAAGTCAAATCTAGTTACAGTAAACAAAATTAAATACAAGCAATAAAGTCCTCGAAAACACTTCAAGAAAAAGTCTTGGGGTGTAAAAAGGCTTTTGTAAGAATGACACCAAAGCCAGCAACCTTGGAGGAAAAGAATAGCAGGTACGAGCACACACACATTTACAACTTCTATATCATAGGAGACAGTTAAGACAAAGGATAAACTCAGAGAAAAACTTATGGCATATGACCAAAAATTTAGATTTTTAAAAACGAGTTATTACAAAGCAAGAAGCACAAATAACCAAAAAGAAAAGAAAAAAAAAAAAAGGCCAGGACAGCCAAGATGAGAACCTCAAAAGAGCAAAATTAAGCCATCAAAAGTTCAGCTGATTAGTTTAGAACTGAGACAGTTTTCACTATAAATTGATAAAGATGAAAGCTGTATAAAACCTAGGATTCATTCACTGGCATATAAATTAGTGCTCCTGAAAACAAATTTAGCACTACACTGCAAAACTTAAAATGATTTTACTCTTTTTATTCAAATTTCACTCCAATGAAGTTATGTTTTAAAAATAACCTGGCACTGCTGGTGGGAGTGTGAGATGGCTTCCATCACTGGGAGACTTGGTGCTGCTCCTGCGAGGTATGTATAGCTTGGCTGGCTGCAGGGCACATCTAGGAAATGCTCAGAGCACTGCATGTAACATCCAAGAGGCAGGCTGCAACCAAAGGTTCGCCAATAATAAAAAGGGCAAATTATGGTACAGTCACCCAATGGAATATAATACACCAATAAAAAATGAATTGCTACACATAAAGGTATACATAGGGACCCCCCCCAAAAACAAACAACCCTGCAATTATCTTCTAGAGGGTGGGCCCTTTGTAAGTACAGGCTTCCCCCGCTAGGAACCTATCTGTATCAGTGCACCAGCTGTTACGGTGAGAAACTGTGTTCAGCTTCAGTGAATTTTTTTTTTGAAGACTCAACGTGTTTGCCCATTTCATGATGGATGATTTACAAGTGCACACCCACACCGCACTGACTGTTCAGTAGTTTGACCAAAAACAGCATGGCCCCAGTGACCCACCCTTCCTATTTACCCCATCTCACCCAGTGACTTTTTTTTGTTTCCATGGATGAAAAAAGTCCTCAGGAGGAAACATTTTTGCAGATGTGGAGGTGGTGAAGCAAAAACAGCTAATGCACGAAAAGGCATCAAAATTGAGCAGTCAAAAAAAGTCTCAATAGGTGTACTGCATCAACTGGAGAGTACTTTGAAGGTGAGTGAAGTTTAAACATGTAAGATTAAATACACAATGTTTTATAAATAAATTCTGGTTATTTCTGGGTCCCCCTTCACACGAGTCTCACAGATTTAATAGTGAAAGAAACCAGACACCAATGAGCATATATGGTAAGAGTCCATTTATACACATTTCAAACAGGCTAAATGAACCGATGGTATTAGAAATTAGGGTAGTGGTTACCCTAATAATAATTAGGGCCAGTAGGTGACTGTGATCATTGGAAAGGGGCTTAAGGGGGACTTTTGAAGGTGCTAATTACAGCTTTATTGTTCCATTCATCATTGAGCTGTGAAAATTATTTATGCAATTTTACATATATTTTATCATTTAATAAAAAGTTCTAAAAACACTGTGTCTGTTTTCTGAAATATTTAGTATGGATGGCAATGATCTATGGCAATTCCTCTCCATTAAACAATTAAAGTTATGAGTTATCCATATGGATCTTTCTTCTAGAAAACTGAAGAAATCTTTTCTATCTTTTACATGATACAATAAATCCAGGTTTCTTCCATTTTGCGGTCTGTTTTGGATACAGTCCGTGCTTCTATCCAGTTTCCAAAGAAGATTCTCCTTTCCAGTCACTCCAAACCTCCTCTTCCCCATGATCATAAATCAATGCTCCAAACCCCCCTCTCCCATAATCCCTGGTACAATCCACATGCCAGATAACACTGGTCTGTCTTTAATTACACACTATTCTGTAAATTAGAGAGTTCTTACAGTCCATTTCATATGAAAAGCTGAAAGTAAACTGAATGAAACCTTTAAAACTTCTACCAAGTTGGTAAAATGAGAAGTTGCGCTAAATTTATGCTGCCTGGGAAAGGGGTACAGACATTAAATCAAATGGAAAAAAGAATCTTAGTTTAGTTGAATGAAAAACACTGAATTAAAAATAAGCCATTCCATCATCGCAAATGAATAACTTGTCCACAAAAAAAATACAGAATTACTTGACTGCTGTTACCATATATATTTATGGTAGAGACCACAAGTTTATTTCTCTTCTCTGCTGCAAGGTCAAGGGCAAGGAAGGCAATGAGAAGGCAGGGTACAATGACAAAAATAATGATCTATTTCTGAAATATGCTGGTCAGGCTACCAGACTGGTGGAACTCACAAGAAGCTTCCTGCACTACTTTCTCAGTTTCAAAGCTTGAAAATATCCTTCAGATATAGCTATAGTCTGATAAAAATATATTAAACCCATAAAAATCACTTTTTACTCACCTCTCATCAAAGTTATTTGTGACATACTGCTTTTTACTTACTTAGCATTTCACTATGATAGAACAGTATCAGCATTTTTAGTAGACTAATGATTAACATTCCTAGGAACCTGAGTTCATTTTACTTTTAAAATGCCAGCCACCCACCACCTTATTCCCTGAATGGTGTTATGATTACACAATCTAATATTTAAAGGCTAATGCCAAACTGTCAAGAGATAACTGACATTCTTGACAAAACGTGTCTATCAAGATTTCAGAAATAATTTTTATATAATTCTGGAATTTACCAGAAAGGGAACCAAGGCACAAGCCCGCGTCCCAGGACCGATGTTAACAGGTCAAGGACGTGGGATTCAGATGGCACTGTTTTCAAAGTTTCCTGATAGTGACTTTAAAAAATAAAAGAGCGTAGCCCTGAGCTGTGTCCATACAAGTGAGGATCTGGGGTAAGGACACGTGCGTCTTTGCAGAAGGCAGAAGTAATCCACACAGCACTCTCTCCGTATGTTCAGACCAGTCTGTTTTCAATTCTCCTTGTGATTATTCACACTAAGAAACCTAAAAACCCTCACTATTTGTCTGGAAAACAGCATGGCATATCTGTTAATTCATTAATGTGTAAAATATCACAAAATAATACTTTGGGAGTTATATTTATAAAGAATCCTTCTCCTTTACAGAGACAACTTGAAATATTTACTAATGTAGGCCTGGCTAGTGTAGCTCAGTGGATTGAGCACAGGCCTGTGAACCAAAAGATTGCAGTTGATTCCCCATCAGGGCATATGCCTGGGTTGCAGGCCAGTTCCCAGCAGGGGCCAGTTCCCAGCAGGGGATGCACGAGAAGCAACCATACACTGATATTTCTCTCCCTCTCTCCTTCCCTTCCCTTCTAAAGAAAAAAAAAAAAAAAT